AGTCTTTAGGGTAATACTTGTAGCTTGATACCTCAGAGACTTCCAGGTGCTCTTAGGGATGAATTTCAAGACCTGCAATAAAGGCCTAGAAGAAAATTCACCATGAACACCTCTGACTCCTGATTGTCTTCTAAGGCTTCCTTTCCTTATCTGATTTTTGTTTTGGGGGTTTTGTGTTTTGGGGGTTTTGTGTTTTGGCATTTTGTTTTGATTTGTTTTTCCCTGATTTACTTTGTAAGCGGGTGTACTTACAAATACCAACAACAGATATTTTAGCAATGTATCATGTGTTAGTGTCTCTTGCTCTTGCACAAGTGGGAGTGAAAGGCAGGAAATAAGAGAGTGACTTTGTGTTCTGTTATTGTTGTGAGAAACAGAGGTGAATACCACCTTAGTAGAAGTTGCATTTCATTGGAAAAGAGCAGTGGATAAAGAAGGGGAGGAGATTCCCTCTCAGTCATTSGTTTGATGAGTCATTGTTGGATGATTGCTAATCCTTTATTTTGAGTTTTTATCAATCAAGCACTTTAGAATCCTCCAGTTGCTTCTCAGAATGGTGGTGAGCACGTCACTTCCCTTCTGGGTGGGATTGTAGTGCAGTGTCATCTCATGATAAATTTGATGAGTAAGGAGATGGCCACAAGCAAACCTGGCAGTTGCATGGGGCAGAAGGAGGAGAGGACAGGGGAGCTCTGTGTGTGAGGCTGTAGAAGAACTTGGTCATTCCCTTGCTTGTCATCTGTCATGGATAACACAAGCTTGTTCCTGATGGAGTACAGTGTGATTTGAGTTGTTTCTGCAGAGCATGTGAGACCTACAAAATATTATCACATGTCATCTGTTTATTTCTATGTGTTTCTAACTATTGCGTTGCTTGTTGTCATGAACTCAACCTCAGAGTGTCTGATCCTGTGTGGAAGGTCACATCTGTCCCAATTGTTTGAGCACCGGTGAAGTTCCCAACATGCCTGTGATGTTTACGCCTGTAGAGAGGAAGGGTTTCATAAGCACATTTGAGCTATTCCAGGAGCACTTTGTGTGTAGTGTAACAATTGAGAAATATCTCTGCTGCAGCCCTCAAGGTGCAGAGTGGGCACCGGCCCTGCCACAGATCATCAACAGATGATCAACCATCATCAGATCAGGGACATGTGAGAGAATGTGTGCAGTGTCCCCCACATCATCACCCCGGGGAACATGTTGGGCAGTCATCTGGAGGCTGTTAAATGGATGAGGAACAGGTTGGATAGTCACCCCCAAAGGGTTATAGAGAGTGTCTCAATGTCCAGGTGGAAAGCAGTAACTTGTGTTGTCCCTCAGGAGTCATWACTGGAACCAGTACTGTTTAGTGTCCTCACAGAMAATGGAATCGAACACACCTTATGGAAATGTGCAGYTGACACCAAGCTGAGTTGATTCACGAGAGGGCAGAGATATCAGTRAGGGTCAGGCTKGGGAAATGGCTCCATGCAAACATGAAGAAGTTGAACAAGGTCCTGCACCTGGTTTGGGGCCATCCCCCRTTACAGGTGAGAGTTGGGGAGAGGGAACAGCTTTGCAGTGAAGTACTTTGGGTTAATGGTGGGGGATAAGATGGGACATGATTTGGCAAGGTACGTCTTCTACTCAAACTGTGTCCTGCACTAAATAAATAATACTCTGACCAGAAAGTCGAGGAAGATCCTTCCCCCTGTCTAAACTTTTTTGCGAGACCTAGCCTGCATGCAGGTCTTGGGCCAAGATTCCAAATGGGCATCTTAGCATCCCCAAAAGGATCATGAATGTGATCTGAGAGTTGAAACATCTCTSCTATGCAGAGGAACTGAAGGAGTTTCAATCTCCAGGCATGGAGAAAAGATGCCTCTGTGCAGACTTTTCAAAATATTTTTGTTGCTTCAATTTAGACATTAAGAAAGATGGAGAGARCTCTTTTTTCCCAGGGCCTTTGTTCACAGGACAGCAGACAAAGGTTTTAACTGAAGAGAGGTTTGGATTAGGAGAAATGTTTAGAGTGGAAGCTGAGAAAGTGGAGCATATTGCCCAAAAAAGTAATCAGTATGCGTGCAACATTCACGTCCAGAAAGAAGTGTTCTTTCTCATGGCAGAGRTGTGAATTCAATGGCCTGTAGAGAAACATTCCAGCTGAAAATATTGTTTGGTGTTATAAAGAACTCAGCATTGCTTTGCAGCTTCCCATTGTTAGGCCCTGGAATATGGACTTGCAAGTTAAGGAATGTGAATTAGAAACAAAAGACTAAATGTTAACCTGCTGTTTTAGTGCACTTTACTTTACGCTGATCTATCTCTCAGGTTAGTTCATCCCAAGYAATCAAAGGAGAATTCAAGATACATATTGCTAAAAAGCCCGTGAAGTCATTCYTATAATATTATTTATTGCTCCTATAGATGGGCTGTGATTTTATTAAGACCAGCTGAATTCCATTCTTTACTTCCCTGCCAATTGTGTTTGCCTCTGACTATTCAATGTGACTCAAAATTATGCACAAAGAGYTCCTGGGAACGCATGTGAGATAGAAAAGCCTTCAGACCTCTATAAAACAAGTATTTCTGGACTTGCTGTTTCCGATCTAAAAAAGACCCCGGAGCCGGTGCAGCCCCCGAGCGCCTCCCAAAGCCGG